GGCTCTCTGAAGGGGTTCCCAAAACGGCAACAAGTAGATGAAATATACAATGAAGGCCTGTCCGGTGGGAAAGGTGTTGTCATTGATGACAGCATACATGAGGCATACGTCCATGCAATTCGTCGGGCGCAGCATCACATATACATTGAAAATCAATACTTTCTAGGGTATGAAACGTGCTTTCCCTTTTTGCAGACCATTCTGGACATTGTCATGGTGAAGCCGCTCTCCCTCTTTTTGTTGATTTTGGTTGTTGTTGTATGTTGGTGGGTAACTTAAGAGATTGAGATGTGAGTTCCAGTCATGGTATTACATAACGATTCATGACATCACACGTAGAACGACAGAATAGTAAAATTATACTAAGGGCTAATGTCTGGATTTTCTGAAATATGGTGTAAACCGTTATACTGACCATCAGTGATTTGCATGATTCAAACGCAGTCAGAAAGTAGAACATGTGCACAAATGGAATGCTGAGCCTTAAACGGCCAGTTCATGCGAGTGTAATGAGCCCAGACTGGAAGATACTCGTCACACGTCGAAGTACAGGTAGACTCAGATCTGCACAATGTCTCCAGTAATTGTGAAAGTGATATCTGATACAATGTCTCGTTACCAATAGACGAAGAGAGTGGAGGGAGAATAGACAGAGGAGAGGCTGGAAGAGATAAACAGTGTCCACCAAAAGAGTAGCCCAAACATTACCCACTGCTTCTTCGGGCTTCCTCTCGCCTCCACGTCATCAACCAATATACAGTAACAAGTCCGATAAGTCGTGATGGCAGTGTCATCTCGTGGAGACAATGAAGACAAACAGCAGTGCACGTTGTCGACGTCAACATCAGGTGAGTACCAATTCCCAATCATCCACAGATCCCGATCTCCCTCCTTGTTGCAACCAGTCACCTCATGTAGACAGGGTGGCCAGTTCCACGTCAGCAGTAGAGACAGGTGGCATGCGCCACATCAATGAAGACAGATGGCCTGCGCCACATCAGCAATGTAGACAGATGGCCTGCGCCACATCAGCAATGTAGACAGGTGGCATGCGCCACATGAAGACAGGTGGCACGCGCCACATCAGCAAAGGCTGGCGCTCAGCAGAGAAGGTGCCAGCATGCTGCCACAGTCCCACGTCGTCGTCCACTGTACCAGCGCACAGCCAGCGTCCAGCCAGCGTCCAGCCAGCATCAATGTAGCTACCAGCTGGAGTCAAGCCAGCGTCTAAGCAGCATAGCAAGACTGAATGGTGACCTCCTGGAGACCAAGCCTTATGTAGTGTTTGATGAGGCAGTGTGGCCTCAGGTTTTCTTCCCACAGTCGTACAGATTGACTCACAGCCGAGGGCCTGAATTGTATACAGTTGCAGATTCCCCTTACTCCTGATGCTGTCTGGGTACCTGCACACAAACAAGTCTGTGCGTCTGACAGGCGGCCTGGGCTGGGTACACTTTGACTTTGACTGTTGGGCGTCAGGCAGTTGACTTCGGTCAACTGTCGCCCGCTCAGGCCCTGAATTTACTTAGGGTCTTTTCTCCCCTGTGGCCTTGGTCTGAGTGGTGGCCTGGCGAGGCACTTAGACATTCCACGAGGCATACTCCATGGGTTATTGCACGAGCCTCTTTTATACGAGGCGGATTCCCCCTGTGCGCCAAGCTTTGCTGAAACGCCGGCACACCATTTTTCTTTTCGTTTTGTCTGGCGCCACCAGCCATTTTGGTCTGGTTGCCCCTAGCCTCCAAATTTTTCGGTGAGAGCCTCTCGTTGTTCGTAAGTGCCTGGGGCCATGTGCTAGGGGCTTAAGACAACCCTTGAGGATCTGACATCTTTGTTCTTTTTTTGGACCATTTCTCGGTTTGTGTGTGTCATCCTTGTGCAGGGGCCATGCTAAATTTTAACGGACGTCCCGAAGGACTGAGGATCTGACATCTCCTCCAATCAGTTACAAAATTTTCGTTCTTGACGTTCATAACAAGTCTAGTGTCATGCAATCGCGCCCGCGCCGTCGGTTAGCGTGGGAAAACCAGCGCTGCGCTATCTCGCGCTGGCGCCCGGCCATGGCCTACGGGCTGACGCCAACTGAAACCCGCCCCCCTCACCGTCCTCCTGCCCAGCCGCCCACGCGGCTCACTCGCCCAACTTCGAAATTTCGTGAGTAGGGCGGCAATACCCGCCATCGCCACAAGGGGGTGTAGACGCCCTGCTCAAGCGCGAGGCCGGCACACACGCCACCACCAAGAGGAGAGCAGCATCGTCTCAGCAGCTCTTCCCCTCCACCGATCTGAAGCCGACCTGCTACCTGAAGCGCCCTGTGAGCGCCATCACGAGGAGTAGCCTTCACAGGAAGACAACGGGCCCGAGAATGCTGGCCATGGAGACCCCAGGGCTTCGGAGGGAGTCACACCATCGTGACACGTCTGCAGTACACACCAGCGACTACTGAACAGACCCAGAGCCGAGGAGTTTCCATCAAGGAGATCCCCAGGAACATCACAAGAACGGGCTTAGTTGACATCTCACCCCCAACTTCCCCTTGACGCGTATCCCCCACTCTTTTGCCCATCTCTCACTCCTCTTCCAACCATTCCCCTTCCACCCTCCTCCCATCCTTCCCCC